TTTGCACGAGTGAGTTTTTCAAAAAGCTGAAATTGCACGAGCCGCTTCGGCGAGTGTAATTTCAGCTTTTCGAAAAACTCAAGTGCAAATCAACTCCATATTAACGAGAAAAACCGAATGATTACTTATTAATAATATAAACAAGAAAAAATTCGCGCGGAGGAAGTGCCGGAAGATCTTTCTTGAAGCCATTTTTTCTCATTTGAGAAAACTTTTTTTCAAAGTTTCAGCACGAAATTTTCGTCATCATTTTACGTGAATCATTTTCTTAGAAAAGTTCCTGTTGTCTTTCAGTCAATCATAATCCAGAATTTAATTTCGATGTGTAATTTGCACTGGTGTTACACTTTTTGCACTGGTGGTACACTTGAACTGCACTACTCTTAGCCAATCAGAATCGAGTAATTTTTTCATGTGTATTTTTAGGTGGATTACGACTAATGAAAGAAAACTCCACATGGTACAAATCATTGACATTTCCTCTTTTAATTTGATGTGCCTCCAAGATAATTGAAGTGTTTTGTAAACTTTAAATAACTTATCTTTTTTGATAATTTTACTAAAGCTCTGGTCTGTAAAATCCTTAATCGCCATAATATTGCTTGAGCAATTTTTAACTTTTACTCCAAAAAGTGTATATTTTACCGTAAGAAGGTGACAACAATTTACACTCTGCTCCAACGTTTGCACCAAGAATTTTGATGTGAGGAGCTCATACATTTCTAAGTATAAATGAATAATTTTGCCATGTCCTGAATAATACATGGCTGAAATTTTCTATCTTGAAATGTGTCGTCTCGGCTCTTATTAACGTTTGTTTCTATTACAGTTGTGTTCAATGGGTTTCTCGTTTTTGCCACGTCTGAGTCATATATGATCTAACCGTTAAATCATTGACTATAGAGAACTTGTGGGGTGAGACTACGAATTTCCATTTAGTACAGATTCGCTAATCACCTCAGTGGAGCATTCCGAAAGGTTGACCCGGAATTTGAGATGTAAAAGTGAAACAATAATGTAATGTATCAGTCAATTAGTTTACTCCAAATACAAACCTGTGATCTCTTCATCCTAATTTTCCGTGATTCCTCTATTTAAACAACACTCTAGGACAACTGGAACTTTTCCTTAGATGCTTGAACGTGGAACAAGCAAAACGTTCACAAAACGTAACAAACGATGTCCGCTTATGGAAGCCCGAAATGTTTCTTTCCCACGCTCGGTCAAATTTCTTAACTGGGGCGATCATAAAAACTCGGTTCCAGGCCTTGCTGCCAGCCCCCCATGCCTATGGCTGAGTAATCACAATTTCATGAAGTGGTTTTTGCTAAACCACTTTTTTGCTGATCAACAATAATTTTCTAATTTTATTATTTTTTTTTTTTATTTTTTTTTTCCTATTTATTAGTATCCGGAAAATATATTCCGCAGAAAGATATTATCTGACAGGAGAGCAATGTGAGCAATGGAAACAATTATATATTTATTTCTTTAGTCAATTTCTCAGGCAGTTCGCCCACTCTGATAATTCAAAGTGATGATCCTTAATCAATAAAGGAAACTCAATGAGAAAAGTCGAATTATCGTCTTTATTTTGGCGACAATTCTTTGTTGGTACTCTAAACTTAAAAGAAGGGAATAAATCTAAAAATTAAGTTGTAATACTCAACTTCAAAGCAAATAACTGACATTTCAATTGTCGACATTTCAAAAATCTGCATGTGAACCTGCCTCCTTTTGGACAGCTGATTCCAAAGATGAAGTGTTGAAGCAGTAAATGCGAGAAAGATTCTTAAAAACGAACATAATTGAAATTTATTTAAACAGCTTTTTGTAAATATGTGTTTAAGGTGACAAAGTTGTTGAGTTCTACTTTATGTTTGCTCCCAATATCTACTTTAATACCACGCAGACATTGAGACCGAGGAGCTCTCCCGCCGAAACTACCTATGGTACTACTGACAACGGAACAACTAAAAATATGCTACTTACGACCACAATAGACTGATTTAGATGCAATAGCATAATTTAAGTAAGTAAGTTAATGGGTGAAGGTGCTGAAAAAAGCAAGTTAAAAGGCCATTCACCAAGTCTTGATGTAATGTCATAATCACGTCACCACGTCAGCCAAACAGAACCCGTTTAGCGAAAGTGTCAATTAGCATTGTAGGTTAACATAATGCCACAATATTCAAACTTGGCATTTCTTTGACAGAGATTGAGCTGCTGCTTAAGTGCAATATATTGGATTGTATGCAGTTTAAAATGTAGCGAATATGCAATCGTGCGCGATGTTTTGGAAGGTCTACTGGCAAAAATCTTGCCATCTTTTGCTGATTCTATGGATTTTCACTTTCTGTTATGACGTTAAAGGAGCCCCAGTCGATTCGGAAATTGTCAGAAAGGCTCGATGCTACGCAAACTGCCTCAGAGAGGTAAGACTGCCTTCCAATATACTTTGTCGAGAAGTTGTAATGTGTACTCTTACAGGTAGTAACTTTAATTATCATTACAGTCTAACTAGTCTTCGGATGTTGATCAAGTTTTAGATCGAGAATTTGCTACAGCA